TGTTGATGATATCTAGTGCCTATCACTCTGTCAACTCACTTTCTCATAGTGGGTCTCCATGCAGAGGAAGATTGTGTACGCAGTGAGACAGGCCAGACAGCCCTCCAGATAGGACCTGCCGCCCAACTTTTCCGCCTCTGCATAGAGATTATTCAGGGTCTGTACGGTCTCCTCAAACTGCTGCTTGTCAATCTGTACCAACAAAACAATTATCTGTATTCAGACAGAATCCATTTGCCAAAGCTTTAGATATATTTGACATCTGTAAATACAGATCAGTGGTAAATGGTTGCTTTGTGTTTGCTATGGATCTCCACACACCCTGCTCTCCAGCTCTGCTGGGAACTTGGTCTGGAACTTGCAGATAGTTCCAGAGCTGTAGTCTCTCTGAACGAAAACCTTGGAGGCGACGGCTGCTTGCCGCAGGTCCTGCAAGCTGTGCGTCTGGAGAGAAAACCAGAGTATGGGTTATTAAAAACCAATACTTCTGTCCTCAAAAACAGTGAGCGCCATCTTTAAAAACTCAGGTTAAGGAAATTAAGTGCTTTAAAACACTGAAAGCGTTTTTTCCCCCTGCTATACAGACATCCATGTTGAAGTCACTCACCTACAAGATAATCTATGAAATATTCAATTTTAACACTGATAAGTATGATTTTCCATGTCAAAATAATATGGAAAGTATTATATTTTTTTATATTAAAAAACAGCAAAACATATTTTTCTACAACATACACTACAGTTCAAAAGGTTTTTCAATGCTTTTGAAATAAGTCTCTTATTTTAAAACATTTATCTACACACTACAAATGCATTTGAAAGAAGTCTTTTATGTTCACGAATGATACTAAAAACAATAACATTATTAATACATTATTGTGAAATATTATAACAATTTAAAATAACTTGTTTCTATTTGAAAGCTTTTTAAAATGTAATTTATTCCCGTGATGTCAAAGCTGTATTTTCAGCATCATAACTCCAGTCTTCAGTGTCACATGATCCTTCAGAAATCAGTCTGATCTGCAGCTCAGGACACTTTTTTTTTTTTTAATTATCATCAAAGTTGGCTATTAAAAACACAGGAAATCATACCCATATACACAGAAACTACACTCACTACGCCCTTGTAGCATCATACAACGACTGCAATCTGATGACAACGTGAAGCTCGTTTGAAACATGACAGCTGGCTTCAGATTTATACGAGAATACTGACAGTGAAAGTAAGGATCTCAATGTTAAAGTTAGTCATCGACGCCGATATTTATCTTTGACGACCACTGAAGAAACGCTAACATGTCAAATAGTAACGGTCTTATAAGTACACGTGAGTATTATTCAGATAGCTGGAGAGCGAAACATTGATTATAACGCATAATTTCAGACGCCCACCTTTGTCAGGGAACAAGAAGGAAAGTGTAATTAAATTTTGTTTTCATTCACGTACCTCCGCCATAGTGGCTGCTGCTCCTCTTCCTGTTATTCGGCCTCCTGTCCTCTACAAAACACAGTCCGGTAGGAACCTTTGCCTTTATTCATCAGTTCCGCTGCTACACCAAATCAAATTCTTCTATTCCATTTTTCTTTTTCTTTCATCACCGTACGGGTGAAGTATTGTGAATTAAATTATTTGGTGAAAATCATTTAATTGCCATTGCCAGCTCACTGCTATTTCGTTTTAAGCGGGTCAACATACAGTATAGGAAAGATTTGTAAATAATAATAAAAAATAATAATAATTAATTTGCAGTTTCTAAAGGGATTTAGTTGTTTTGCATGTCATTTGAATGTAAAACAGACATGATCTCACTACATACTTACCATAGTAATGATGCATTTGTTTGCCAGCATTTAGAAAATAGCATCACAACATTTCAGAGAGGAGGACATTGTGTTCTCACGTGAGAAAAGGACACAGCCCAGTCCAGCTTACTAAGTGAACAAGAGCGATGTTTATTCACTTTTATCACAGAAGCATTTGTGATACTGAGCGAAACCTAAAGGAGAAAAGGTTACTGCCTAAAACAGTCCTCTCTCCTTGTCTCCATCTGTGTTTTTGAAATCATACTTTGATGACTGACACAGGGTGACATACAACAGAGAAGTCTTCTTGATTATTTTACAGCAGTGGTTCAGTCAGCCTGATACATCAGTGAGATCATTCATTCCTAAAGTTTTCACCATCACTCAGTTCCTTAGACGGCACTGGATAAACTCAGTATGGACATAAAATAAGCCTGTGGTCCACCTTGACAGGCTGTGAGATCTATAAAACTGTCAGATCAAGAATATTTTGTAAAAATAGCATGTTGTGCAATGATGTTTTCATTTTATAAGTGTATTTCTGAGTCAAGTTTGCTGTAAGTACACTTCATCTGTAGTTTAACAGGCAAGAGCGTTTGTTTAAAAGGTAGTTTGATTCACACATGAGCGTTTTTGATCAGTTTCAAATGAGGAAACTCCAGCACTGTAATTAAGACCAGCATTGAAAAGCATTTGTAAACATTCTTGTCTGTGAAAATGTTTTTTTCATTAATCCATCCCCCTCTAGTGTTGTTGCAGCTTATTTATCAGTTCTTAAATATTCTTTTTTTTTTCATTACATGCATCAATTTAATCTGGACCGGTGTTGTTTTGATATCATTTATATACTGTTAATTTTTGTTAATATATTTTTTGGTTATTTTTTATTTTAGTCTAAGTTTTAGTAAGTTTGTGTTTTTGATATATATATATATATAATTTTTTTAAGTATGTTATTTTAGTAGTTCAGTGAAAATAAGTTTATTAACATTTTATTTCATTTAATGTTCATCAAGTAATGTTTAATGATTATTCAAGTAATGAAAATGTTTTTTTAATGATTTTAGTTTTAGTAGACTGGTTGAAATCGTTTTAGTTAATGTTTGCTTTTTAATGAAAATATTAAGAATTCATTAGGATGCTATTTAAAACATTAATTCAGCAAAATTAAAATAATAGTTATTTTATTTTTTCAGAATTTTTTTCTACAAAAATAATCAACTGTTGTATGGAGCTGTGAAATGATATGGTGTTTGACATGCTTTGCTATATTGGGGAGCTATCCGTTTTATAATTGAATTTATATTCTATGAAGAAAGTGACCAAAACTATAATAAAATACCCCAAAACACAACGCAGTTCTCGGTCATTTCCTACAAAGGATTCTTTATAGTGTTCTGCAACTTTATTTCACCAATGCAATATCAGGGGAACAGAAAATATGTTTAACTAATAGGACTGCTGTATAAAATATCAGGAAAATATCTGATTCCAGCCAAGTCATGAGTGGAGACATTCATAAATCTTTGAATGACCCTCATTTGTCCTCTAAGATTCTTACAACAGGTGGTCTCACTGGAGCGATACTTGGTCTGCTACCACCAAAGATCTTCTCGTGTGGAGAAACGACGGGTAAACACATCATGATGACATATATTTTGGTGTAATTCAAACATCTTAAGTGATGACGAGTTTGGCATCCCATGATAGCATGTCTGTTTTCATTCAACTGTCACTTCATTATGAACATTGTGAAATAATTGTATGCTTATGAAAGCCAGTACACAGCTGCAGTAATGTGAGAGAGGAAATGCCCACATTGGCGTTTAATGGTTGAAGTTAGTATTAGAAGCTGCTTTCAAATCAGTGTGGAAAGCAAACGAGACACAGCGCAGGGCATCTCACAAGCATCTGCATCATCCCAGTCCAAGAAACCCAGCCAAAAGTCGCAGATGTTTAATTCTAAATTCTAAATAACGCGTCTTTGTAGCAGAGGAGCCATCCGGGTTGCATTGACCGACTTGACAAACACTGCTATAAATCAGGCTGTGGAACTTTTATAGAATTAGATCAGGCATTTTACAGATGCACCACTGACATAGTCCATGTACAGCCATTTTCACTTACATTTTATGAGTCTGTTACACAAGAGCTTTTCAACCCGAGGGCAAAGCCTCTTTAACAAATGCAGCTGTTTAGATGCCAGTTTTGCCATTTCTACCAAGATGGTTTCACCCAAAATGTTCCCCCCAAAACAAAAGTTCTCTCACCGTCAGGCCATTCAAGATGGGTTTGCTTCTTCATCAGAACATATTTGGAGAAATTTACCATGACATCACTTGCTCACCAATGGATCATCTGCAGTGAATGGGTGCCGTCAGATTGAGAGTCCATACAGCCTATAAAAACATCACAATGTTGTTTAAGTAATCCAAAGTAATCCACACACACACACACACACACACAGGTTTGTTTTTGTGAAAAGTGGGGACATCCCATAGGTGTAATGGTTTTTATACTGTACAGACCGTATATTCTATTGCCCTTTACCAACCCTACCCCTAAACCTACCCCTCACAGGAAACTTTGTGCTATTTCAGATTTTCAATACACTCCATTCTGTGTGATTTATAAGCGTTTTGAAAAGTGTGGACATGGGGTAATGTCCTGAAAAGTCACCTTCTCCTTGTAATACCTATGTTATACCTTTGTCATTATACAAATTTATGTCCTCATTTGTCACAAAAACGCGCACACACACAGAAATTTTGATTGTGACAGACCGACCCTATATTTATTTATTTGAAAAACTGGTCAGGTCACTCGTGAACTAGTTTAACTTGTAAAAAAATTAAACAGAATTTTACAACAATTACATTTTATTGCAACATATTATTGGTAATACATTATAATTGTGGATGCATAGATCACCCTCTTAACATCAGTATTAGATATAAAGAACATAATATCTTTATAATGATGCCCAATTCGCGAATGAATCGTTCTTTTGAATCGGATCGTTTTAATTTACAACGTGGCCACACATATTTAGGCTATATTATCTAAAAAATTCGGTCAATTAGTAGACACAAGGAGTTCATGAATTATTTTAGTCCCCTTGCATGAAGAAAAAAATTGTCAAGCACATTGAGCAATCTTCGCGTTATGCCAAGCCGGTTGAATTACTATTGGTTGTTTCACCTTTCAAGCGTGTTCATTTACTCTAGCGCTGCGCAAGCGAACTGCAGCGCGCGACACTCTCTCATATCAGGACTGTGGAGAACGAGGACGCCAAAAAAACCGTTAGTGCAGTACTAATGCAAAGACGTACTTCTGAAGTCTCAACAGTGCAACGCAGGTGGATATAACTGTTATCGATACAATATTTTTCTCCTCGTGCCATGAAGAATCTTCTCCCCAAGCTGTGGATGTTCATCGCTCCAGTTGTCCTCCTCCCTTCGCTCAACGCTACCGAGTATGAGTACTACACTTGGAAACCGGAGACGTGGGTAAACAGTTACGGCAAAAGCCCACAGTGCATGGAAATTCCCGAGGACCTGAGGCTGTGTTTCAATGTGGGCTACCACCAGATGCTGCTTCCCAATTTGCTAGAGCATGAAACCATAGCTGAGGTGAAGCAGCAAGCGGGCAGCTGGGTTCCTCTGGTGCACAAAGCCTGTCACCCCGGCACGCAAGTGTTCCTCTGCTCGCTCTTCGCCCCCGTGTGCCTCGAAAGACCCATATATCCGTGCCGCTGGCTGTGCGAGGCTGTCCGGGATAGTTGTACCCCTATAATGCAGGCGTTTGGGTTCCCTTGGCCTGAAATGCTCAACTGTGACAAGTTTCCCCTGGGCGACGTGTGCATTTCTATGAACACCACCAGTAGCGACGATACGGATAAATCCCCAGGTGTGTATTATTAGCTTATTTTTTTTATCTTCATTTTTGTTTCTTAAAAAAAAAATATTTTGCCGACAAATATAAATTGTGTTGACTGAATTTCTAGCTTATCTAAAATATAATATAGTTTTTATGTGGTGTCTTCACAGTTCTCATATACGTTTCGGTTTGCTATTTTACTGATTTGGTAACATTTTGTTACTGCTATTTAAAAATGTGAAAAATAAAAGTAAGAATCAGTATGTGTGTTTCAAGTTTGGACTAGATAAGTGTAGTGTATTATGGTTGGATAAGGCTGATCATTTAAGATAAGTTTGTTGCATTACCAACAAAGTTATTGACACGTATTTAGTTCTTAGTTAACATGACAATGTTAAAATAAATTAAAATTTTAAATTCATGTCAAAGTCATAACCTGCACTGATACATTTGTTGCACCTTCTCACCATTTTGAATTTGAAACAGTAAAAAATCAAGTTGAAAAAAACCCCCCAGGAAATTATTGAGAGGATAAATGAATGGAAAAAATGCTGTTTGATGAACAAAAAAACTAAACACACACACACAAGTACAGAATCAAAATAATACACTGATGATTATGATGATGATGAATATTATTATTGAATGTTCTAAGGTTTTTGGTTTTAAAGTAATTAAACATTTACAACATTTACAGATCAATTTATAATCTTACAATTGCTTACATTTCAAGTTGATAAGCAAGCATTATTGAATACATATGTCAGCAAATTTGGATCCAATTTTTTTGTTTTCTTTTTTGAAGGTGTCACTTCTGTGTGTCCGCCATGTGACAATGAGATGAACACAGATGGAATTCTGGAACACATGTGTGCCAGTGAATTCGGTAAAGAATGTTTAATGCAATATTGTTGTATCAGTATTTAAAAAAGCACCCTAATCAAAAGTTCAGTTCAGATTGCACCCAAGTCATTAGTTTAAATATGTAGTCTATTTATTTTAAAAGATTAAATTCAAGATAAATAAAGAAAACATAAATGATTAGTTCAATTAGTGAGATCTTCAAGTTCCAATTTATTGTGTCTATTATATTTTGTCTATAGACAGAAATGATAAACTGGCTGTATTTTTTCCCTGACTGCTATCAACATGCTGATCTTATGGTACAAAGTTGAAACTGACTACAAAGTCAAACCCTATGAGTTCACAACCATTTTGAAAATGAGCTCTTTTTTATATAGACTATTATGGAAATCTGCCTAAACATATTAAAATGCACCTCAGATGTGATGGGCTTTGGCACAGATCTTTTACAAACAAATCAAGCACTAAAAACATATCTTGTTCCAAACACTTTTCGGCATACTGCTACTAACGCAAGTGATTTTAGCACACTTCATTTATTGGCCAGAGCTTAATGACTTCAACAGAACAAAATCCGATCGGCTGATTCCAGTCATTGTGATTCTGCTCAGGTCCAGGTTTTTAGCCCACACATTTGTTTCCAATAATATTGTTGCCTGAAAAAAATATTTCTAAAATTACTGTCTGGATTCGCACTTCTTAAATCTATCTCTCTTGAGACAGTAAGAATGTTGTAGTGCTGCTTAAACATAACAACATGTGTGACCACAGTACTGATAAACACTGAATATTGTGCGTCCAGTATTGTTTACCACTGAATAGGTCTTTTTTTGTTGTTCCATTCCCATTGTTTTGTTTTTAAATGCAACTCAGCGTGGTCAAACCTTTCTTCTCCTTGTATATTTCCAGAATGTATTTATTTATTTGTAGAACAACATACTAATAATAGTATAATAGTCGATTATTAGATTTCATCCGTGAATGGAGATATTTGGATTTATAAAAAGAAGAGCTACTTGAAAATGCTGTTTCTAAGAACCAGTGATGTGGTCAGAATCCAGAAGGTCTTTTTTTCAGGGTCTGAGATGTTGTCCAAGACAGGAAGCTTGCCGCTGGCAAGAATTTCATGGACGCTTTTATTTTTAAGCTGTCAAGCACCAACCCAACAAAGGCTTTTTCTATGTCATTATAGGATGACTGTCTATGTGTAACACTGTAAAATGTGGAAATCAAAATATGGAATTTTTTACCTATTTTTTTTTATTTGATATTTCTACCTAAACTGAGCTTAAAAATGACTTTTGTTGTTGTAACCCAATTTAGTCATGTTGATTCAGTCATAATAAAACTATTATATACTTTTCAACATAAAACCTAATTGTAACCATAAGAAGCACATTTCAGTTTACCTGAAACTTTCTAAAGGTTGCTTATATGTTTTTAGCGAAAATGCTTATAATTAAAATTAAATGCTTGTTTTATGTTGAAGGTATAAATGCAGCACATGAATAACATTAGAAAAGTTATCGGTGGAAACCCCAATGTAGTTTGTATTTTCTGGCTTTTTTTTTTGACCCAGATGTTTTGTCAAAATAAAGCTCCAGGGAACAAGAAAATTTTACAGCTCAGTGGATTATGTCCTTGAGTTTAAAAGCTAGTACTTAATGTGTTTGATTATGTGAATGCTAAACATTGTTATCCACAATACACATGGGCAATAACTACTTTAAAATGCTTAAATTCTTTCATAATGCAGTGCTTGAATAGCCAGTGATTTGAGGAGTGCCTCAGGGATCGGTAAAAATACCTTTTTCGTTTTAACATTATTAATAGTGTAAGTTTTGGAGAAAGTGTGCAGTCTCTTTATTGATCTTGGTTGGATTTAGAATTTGATTCGTACCCAAGAATCGTATGCTCTCACACCCTGGACGATATTGCGATACAATACATTGCACCATCCAGCTTTGCACAATTAGTACAGAATAGCATCTGAAAGACTAGAATGAATTATTGGCTAAAATGTAACAACAGATTATGAAAAACAGCCAAGTGTTCAGCATTTCCATGGCAAAAAAATACAACAATGACCGTAAGCAAAAATACTTCAAATATTTGCATTTTCTGTCAGCACTTGAAGGATTTTTTTTTATATAAAGGTTTTAACTTCCATAACTGTTTTAGACATTACACAACACTTTTAGATATTTATTTAAGACTTCATAGGTGTGCAAAGAAATTGCCTCACTTAAACCTTCATGAACATTAATGACTTCTCAAACCTACATTTTTCTTTTTGTAGCAATCAAGACGAAGATTAAGGAAGTCAAAATAGACAACTTAGATCGAAAAGTCATTCTGCAAAAAAGGAGGAAGGCGGTGAAGCTTGGAACTCTGAAAAAGCAGGACCTAAAGAAGCTTGTTCTTTACCTGAAAAACGGAGCAGACTGCCCATGCCAACAACTGGAAAACCTAGGGAGCAACTATTTAATCATGGGCCGGAGTGTGGGGAAACAGCATATATTGACAGGCATTCATAAGTGGGACAAATCTAGCAAAGAATTTAAGAAGGCTCTTAAAAAACTTAAAAGCCACAAATGTTCAGCTTTTGAGACAATGTTCAAGTGATTTTTGATCATCTGGTTACTAATCTTTGTGAACTTCCCATTATAACATATTACATTTTGCATTACAGTACAGTACAGTATATAAAGGAACCACAGATGCCACAATCCAACTTAGTTTGTTTGCCTGAATACATACAAACAAGTGCCATTTAGATCAAATTTTAAAATGTTGTTGAACATTTCTAACCAATCCAAGTACAAAACAGTTATTCATAGTTATTTGCATTCCATTATGCTTCAAGTCAGTTTGCAAAAACTGCCTTTTGATATATATTGATGTTTTCATGGTGGAATAATATCTATATCCATGCAATCTGTTAATAATGTTTATGTTTTATAATATTCGTCACAGCTATCAGGTATTCGGTATTCAGTAAAATACATAACATCTTACACAATAAAGAGATACTTTTTTTGACAGTTTATTGCTGAATAGGATGCAAATCACAATTAATCATGCTGTGGAAGGTGTCCTATAGCATGCCTGAGGACTTGCACAATGCACTGTAATCATTCAACATTAAAACAGAAAATATTTTTAATATATTTGACTGCACTCTTTATTACATACTGTGTATTAGTTGGTGATTTAAGTAAAAAAGACAAGTAGCAGTTGTGACCTGCCAAGCAGTCCAGCTTTAACAATCACATGGTGTGAAATCACAGCAAAATAATCACTATGAATCAGAACAGATTAGAGAAATTTCAGACTCTGCATGTGCCCTGAATAAGCAAACAGCCAGACAAAGTGTTTATCTTGTATAGACAGATCAGAGGTGTTTGTTTTGGATTGAGGGAATGATTTGGACATATTTCTCTCCCAGCTTTCCTGATGAAAGGCGGTTTGAGTTTTCTCTCGCTCTCTTTTTTTTTTGAGGAGAGTTAATAATTGAGTCAAAACCAAAAGATTATATGATAAATGATCATTTATAGTAAACGATCCAAGATAATTTTATAAATGAATAAATGGCAACTTCTGCTTGCACATTCTGGAAAGAAACTCAGATCTAACCAGTTACTCCCAATTAATTACTTAAGAGAAAAGAAAAGTCCATGTCTACCATTTACCTTTTTTTCTTTACCATTTAGTCCATGTCTACACTGAAAAAATGGTGTATAAACAATTTTTACTTGAAAATTGCTAGTTAATGTGGAATTTTGAAGTAGAAAGATTTTCTTATAAAACATTCTATTTTATCTCCAACTTTTGACAGTATATTTGCTTTGATGTCATCTATGCTAATGTACTTCAAACCATTTAAAACTTTGACGTTTAAAATGTATGTATTTCTCGTCAGGAAAAACTGACCCAAATATCGATGGCTCATCCTGTACTACACTGATTTTTGTCCAATCAAATGCTCTTCTGAGTGAGAATGCCCCTGGTATGTTAGACTAGTTTAAGTGTTTATGTAGTTAATAAAGTCTTATTTGTATCACACTTGACGTTGTTCATTGTTTGCTCATAACTGGAGTCACTTAATCATGCAGATTTATGCTACAAGCTCTGTGTAGAGTTGTACAGTAAGAAAGTTATTTCCCTTAACCAGGAAATTAACGTTCTTAGAATTGACAGACAGTTGACCCTGAGATGTCAAGTAAATATCTACAGCGGATCTAAATATTTATAATTAATTATAACTAGTTATGATTAATTATTCATATTTCCCCATGAGCTGATTCGCTACAATGGCTAGCATGCCTCCAAATAGCAAGTAGCAAATAATGGTTAATAGCTGTGACGCAACCACGGTTATTCAAACAAGCTTTGTGAAATACGTCAACTCAAGAAAAGCAAACTTCTGTGTTGTAATGCCCACCAATCAATATTTGTGGCTGATGAGCTGTGAAACAGTAAGATCTGTTCTTGACTATCATGCTCCAACAGGCCAGGCCTTCAAATTACCTGACTTTGCACTAATGATGCATACTGCTCCTGAAAAGTCTCAAAACGCTCACTTTCATCCATCTGATTTAGGTGGAACAAATTTCAGTTTTCATGATTTCATGAGTCATGCAAGAGCAAGAGAGTGAATGTGTGTGTCTCATATTGCCGTTGGCACTACACCTGTTTACATTCCCAGCGTCATAAAGTGTGCAATAGTGATAGCATCAGATTCAGATAGTGCTGGTGTTGACAACATGCCTTTGCAAATGAATCTGCCATGAAATCATTCTAACACACAGGTGCTGCATGGCCATGTTTATATGTCGAAAAATAAAGGGTGGCCATGTAAAGCTTGCAAACACTGTTCATTTCACAATGTACAATGATTTCAATCTTATAATATATTTAAAAAAAACATCATAAAAATATATTGTATGTTTAAAATGATGATTATGATAGTTGCACAGTTGCACCTCATTAGAAAAAAAAATAATGCTTTAAAAAAAGCATAATTATGGCATAAAAAGCCAAAGGATATAAAAATAATGAGACACTAAGTCATAATTATGAGATAAAAGGTTTAAAGTATGAGATACTAAGTCATAATTATGATGAAAAATTCTACATTTTATAGCATAATTTGACAATCATAATTTTGAATTTTTATGTCAATTTCAAATTCAGTATGATTTCTACTTTTTCATCTTGATTTCAACTGTCATAATTTCAGCTTTTCATATTACATTTTAATTTTGAAAGTCATAATTATGACATTTTATCTCATAATTGTGACTGTCAATTTCAACTTTTTAATCTTATAATTATGACTCAATATGTCATATTTTTTTACTTTTAGCTCATAGTTATGACTTTTTGTCATAATTATGATTTAAAAAACATGATTATTTTTCATATGTAGTGGAAATTGGTTTCCCTAATAATAAAATTAACTACTATATATACTATATATATATATTGTTTTAATAATAATAATAATAAAAATAAATGCAATGTCTAAACAAACTCTATTCTGTCAAATTATGAAAAAAGGTGCATTTAAGATACATAAAATGCAAGCTTTGAAATTGGCTTTAAATGAAAGGATTTAATACAAAAATGTTTGAAATGTCATTTCCGCCAGCATCATTTGCTTCACAGAATGCTTCTAACAAAATACATCAATTGAAATGTGATGAAAATTTCCATGACTTTCAGAAAAAAATAAAAAAGAAAGAAATTCACTTGTGACGTATGAGTACACACTGTTGGATATTGTTAAAAGACAAATTAATACCTCAACAAAAATATGAGCTTTTGAACCCTCTGGAATGTCATGTCCCAAAGATTTCTAAGTGCATTTTTGTGTGTTTTTACAAACTGAGGGATGAGTTGAAATTGTCTGTGGTAATCGCCAACATGCCACAGATGTTGTCCATAGAGCTTAACTTGTACTGAACCCAGAGCATTCCTTTAAAACTGTTTAGTTACTTTTGAAGACCCCCCAACCTTTTGTTTTGACGTCCTTTCAGGGTGATTCAAGCTGAAATTAAACCATTTGCAGCGAACACGTTTAGAAATAAATCCATACATGGCAAATAGCAAAAACCCTGAGTGCGTGTAACCCCCAGGAGAAGCCGACCGATCCCAGCTCGTGCAAAAGCCTAGTGATGGTTTATCCAGGTTAAGCAAATAGCTGTGTTTTGTGCTCTGGGATGACATTGGCTGCCAGACTCTATGGGATGATCATTAGAAGCAGCTGTTGGCTTTTCTGCTGCATATTTCCCAGCTTCATTGAATGAAAAAGACTTGCGTTTTTGTCTCCAGCCTTGAGGGGAAAGCCTATTAAATGCCATAAATAATATGATGCTCTCACAGGATAGCATCTGATGTAAGATGGGCTCTGCGGTAAACATACTTCCACATGGGGTTTGGACTGAAGTTCTCACACATGCCAACTGCGAATCCTGCCAGATGGGATGCGTAGACTCTGAATATTGTGCCGTCACTGTTGCCAATTCGATGATGAGGGTTTTGTCTGCCAGTCTTATTAGGATTGCATTTTACATATTTATATTAGCACAACATTATTTCAACTGAGGTCTGTTTGCACAATCCTTCTGATCTAGATTATGCCTAAATAAATCTGATTCAGTTTGTTCAACATCTCACAGTTTTATCAAACAAATGGCCTTCTTGACTCTTGTGGGTGGGAGTGAAGGAATGCTGTCTGGTAAAGTACTTCTTGAAACTTTGGGTCCAAGAAATGTCTTTTGTAATCGAAGTGAATGACACAAGAATGGTGTATTTTGACATATGCAAGAACATGATGTATCGATATCTGGTACCTTAAAGGGATAGTTCACTCAAAAATAAAAATTCTGTCATTACTCAATCCTCAAGTTCTTCCAAACCCGTGTGACATTCATACTTCTTCTGGGGAAAACAAAAGGAGAAGTTTAGTAGAATATGAGCTCTTTTCCATACAATGAAAATGACCAAGAGCTATCAAGCTTCAAAAATGACTAAAACACCCTAAAAGTTGTCCATATGACTCTACTATAGTTTTGCCAAAGTATTCTGAAATCATACAACATCTTTGTGTGACGAATAAACCAAAATTTAAGCCGTAACATAAGTCTCAAAATCCCATTTGCATTTGTGTATATTCAACACTTTTTGTTCAAATAAACTTAGATTTTGTTCTTTTCCTCAAACAAAGCTATTATATTACTTATGAAATTTAGACAGTTGACTTATGACTTATGAATGAGAGAATATGAAATAAAGTGCATATGGATAAAAAATTATCATATTTGTAATCTGAAAGGCTGTAAAATTCCATGGTAAAAAACTGTTAATTGATTAACAGTAAGTTCACTTCATATCTGAAAATCTGCAATAGATTGAATGGGAATTTTAATGTAATTTTACAGTAAAAAAACTTTTAAATGTGCAGTTTGCAAAAACAAGTCATCTTATAATCTAAAGGGAAAAAATGTAAACTGATGTGAAATGGATGGTTTTTCATTGAAATAATGCTTTCTTCATTTTTGTTTTCTTATCAGTTATGTACATCGGGGTTTTGTTACATCATATGTAGTTTAATGAATGTTTATTGCATCATTTTATTGTCACGTGTGTTACCATGATGGAGTTTTGTATTTGTGTGTATGACACTGTGCACCTTCAATACAGTAGATTAGTATTTACTTCAGCTTGTGGAAAATCTACTTGTGATGAACTTTGATTCAAAATGTGTCCTTTTCTTTGCCACCTGTGTTTTTAAGGTGGTTGTTAGCATATTATAAAGGTAATTAATTTTTTTTTTTTGCATGTGTGAACTAATCCTTTAAGCCACTTAAGGCCACTTGCCACTCTTTTTTGGCACAAATTCAATGCTGAATCAGATGCATTTAAATCCGGACCGCATGCAGTTCAGTTTAAACATAACCAGGACAGATGATAACTGACTTGGGTGTTGTGGATCATGGATTTGGCAGGGACGGGATCTGTAGACACACACTGGACTTGATTTGCTCTTGCAAGTCTTGAGATACAGACCTGACCCTTACTGTGAGGTGAGAGCAGATTTTGGCAGGAGGGTAGGATTTCATAAATCAGCTGATGGCCTCTCATACCTCTGGGATATAAACACATC